ATAATACGTGTTTATGATAAGAGTACAAGGCATGCGCATGCTCAAAAAGTGCTCAGAAACTCTCTCTACAAAAGATGCGCACATATGTAAAGGTTAGAAAGCAGGCACAAAAGAACTCTCGCGAAAGCGCAGTCGCAAAAAGGGTCATCAAAACACCAAACACAATCCTAGGACGTGAATACGACTCAACAAACATCACAGATCGCACTCGCTCAAATGGACATGCACAAAGGTCCATGTAAAAAAACACGCGCAAAATTGCCTTTGCAATAATTAATCTTAAAAACCTGAAATTCAACGCTAGGACTTTAATACGCTTAACCAAACAACCGCAAAAACACAAGATACAAAAGATGCAGTGGAGTGTAGATATAACACTCAACGTTTATGTTTAAGTGGATTTTTTTATGGATTAATTTATATTTCTGTTTTAATTGGTGGGTTTAGTATTATATTGGTACAAAGTGATAATTAGGTGGCCATGCAGCAGAAATGACGATGGGATTTACCCATAAATAAATTAACCTTATAACAAGGCCATACAACACACGCACATAGGTGTGTAATCGGTCTCGGCTCAGAAGTAGTACATGTCCAAAATATTTCCTTTTTTTTCCGAAATGGAAAATTAATTCCAATTGCGTTAAAAAAATGAAAAAGTTGAAAACCGAAATCCCGGAAATTGGAATGAGAAAACTTATTCCAAAATCATAAATTTCAGAAAGAATAATCAAGTTGGGAAATATTTAAATTCGGAATGGAAAATATTAGGTTAAGGAGATTGGCGCCAAATTTCTTGTCAAATAATAGGATCTCTCCCTCAAATGACAAATCCTCCGATCCAAATTCAAATGCACTAAAGTTTAAGGATTGGCGGTAAATCTTATTTCCTGCCAATTTCCATACGATATCATAGCTTTTATGGGTGAATTAGTAGATCAAATAATTTACAAATTGTAGAGCTGTTCCTGAATTTAAGGAATCTATAGTTGAAAACAGACCAACAAAGGTTAACAATCATGGAAACCGACAAAATCATCTTTTTCAATAAAACAATCAAATCCATTGTTTCTTTGCCACCATAAATTTGGGTGTAGATTTTGTGGGAGGTTATCTCATTGTTGACTCTCTTATTATTTAATTTTAATGCATTTATTTTCTATAAAAAAAAGTAAAAAGTTAATGCATTTATTTACTTATAAAAAAAAATCAGATAACTTATTAGATAATAAAAAAATAATATCATGTACAAACCAACTACGCAATACGAAAATTTAACTTCTTAATGTTTTCGTGTTTCGGATAATTTTTGTCTGATACTCTAGAACACATGTTGGAGACTTTATGAGACATATTGCAATTTTCTGAAAGTGATAGACATGTTTGAATAACAAATCTTGAAATACTTTTGCTATTTCCCTAATTATTTACATGATTTAATGATTAACTGTAAATTAATAGTCGATAGTAAAATTTATTTTGAATATATTTGTATGAAATATATATAAGAATTTATATATAAATAAAAAGTTATGTATGTTTATATAGTATATTTATAAATATATCCTTATAATTTTAATATTTATACATGTCCCCTGCGCTCTCACATATTTTGGAGATATGCCGTTTCGTCGTGTTCATTTCACCGTTTTCATGGACCGCAGTTTCTGTATACGTGCTACATAGCAAACCAACAATTACTTCAACAAACTAGACTCAAAATTTTGAAAAGAATAAATTCAGGTATTCGAGTTTTTTTAAGAACAAAACCCAAAATCTCGATTTGTAAGAAATATCTGAAAAATAAAAAATGTTGTAGTTTAATATACATAGTTAGACCTCTATAAATTTATACAATTGGGACTAGGAAAATTCTATTAATTTAGCAAATTATCAAAATTATCGAGTTAATAACTTAACATGTTTTCTCCGAACCTAGTTCAAAAGAAACTATTATTTAATCAAGATTATTAATTTAACGAGCTTCTACTCTATCTAGATTGTTTTAAATTTTGCAATGATTGAGTGAAAGTGGGCTACAATAGAACATGCAAAATTAGCAAAAAGTTAAAATGAAATTTGGAGCACACCACGCGGGAATACCACTACTCCCTCTTCACCTTTTACAAACACTACATTTTCTCTCACATCACCTTTGCCCCCTCTCTCTCTCCTCTCTCTCTCTCTCTCTCTCTCTCTCTCTCTCTCTCTTCACTTGTATTTCCTCTCTCTAGACTCTAATGCCCATTTAGTTGCTTTCTTTCACAATTTTCTCAAGTACTGAAAAATGGGCTGCTGTTTCAGTAGCACCGGAGATCGCCATCCCGAGACGGAGCACCGCCATTCCAGCGGCGGAGGGCATTCCAAGTCGCCGCCGCCGTCTGCATTAGAAGAAGAAACTGTAAAGGAAGTGCTGTTGTTGGAGACACCCATTATTGCTCCCAAGCTGGTTGACGAACGAATTAAAGAAGCGCCGCCGGGGAATCAGGATTGGAAGGTGGAATCTGGACCGGCGGCGGTGGCGATTACCGCCGATATTCCATTGAAGAAAGGTAACGAAGAAATTATAATTTCCGAGGTTTCTGAGGTGTCGGAAATGTGTAGTTACAGTGAGAGCTTCTCCAATGCGACGACGGCGGCGCAGGATAAGAGAGAGGACGACGACGACGGCGTGGTCAACCAGAGGCCGCCGTTGAGGAAACGGCGAGCGCCGCCCACCGGAGGAAAGGGGAGGGGCGGCGTCGCTAGAAGAGGTGCGGCGGCGGCGCCTTCGCCGGAGAAGAGGGGTCAGGTGGTGCCGTTGAGGCCAGTTCGCGGAAGGTCAATGGCAGGGCAGCCAAGGAATGTGGCGGAGGAAAATGGCCGGAGGAGAGACCCGGGGGAGGATTCCGGTAGGAGGTTGAGGTCTCCGGTGAGGCGGGAGGAGGTAGGTGAGCGGCGGAATGTGAACGATGAGAAGCGTCCGATGGCTACAAGGGAACCCCCAAACGACGTCGTACCGGCGGAGGAAGCCGAGTCGCTTGAGAACCCTGTTGTCTCTTTAGAGTGCTTTATCTTTTTGTGAGGGATTTTTTCCCCTAGTTTATTGTGCCAAACGATGTCGTTTAAGAGTTTCTATTCTTTTTTTTTTTCCCCCTTTTCTTGTGTGTAATTGTGTGTGTATATTCTCACTAACAATTTAGTTACGGAGAAACAAACTACGTGATTACCATTTTGAATATTTTTACCTACCCTCCATTACTAAAATATTTACCTCAAAAATCATTTTATACATATGATACCCTTGGATGAATTACGGCTACACCCCTGAGGTAATGTTAAATTACGAAAAAACTCATATTATTTGAGTAATTACAACCCCCTTAACTATAAATTTGCTTATACATCCATTTATATGGTGTTAAATTCAAAATAATCTTCTATATTATGTGAAATATTCTCTAGTTTGTACTCATTTTGTGCAAAAATACAGTTTTCTGATCATGCACCACAATCTAATAATTTTTTTTATAAGCCAAGAGACACATATATGATCATCTAG